TGCAGTTTTTCATTTTGTGCACCGTATATATCATAACACCCTGTATCATTTTAGCCGTCAAACAATAACTATAAATATAACGTCTCTCAGACTCTAGGCAGTCGCAGGAAGGCCGATATCCTTCTATACACGAAAACAGCTTTCCTATGCCGAACAAAACATATTGTTTTTTCTTTCGGTGTTTCAAATTACGCTATTGGTTAAGCTTTTGATTTAAGGATGCTATGCCATATTGGCGTGAGAGTTCGAATAGGAATTTCGTTAGAAGTTGAAACGTATGTTAAGGCATTGATTAAATCCAATTGTTCGTCTGTGACTACGTGAAGGGTTTAGAAGTTGAAATAAGTATGACTTTGGCGGGTGGTATGTTTTTATACGACAAGTACTGTCATATTATTGTCGAAAGTCGCGTCTAGTCTACTTACGCCAGATATAATCTAGATGCTATACGAAATGTTACTCTATCCTTTTAATATACGTAACTTGACGCACTACGTAGAAAAATTAATTGCATCAGTAGAGGCCAAGCGTTATCGTATCCAGAACAATGATACGCGTTGCTATTAGAAGTGCAGAGATAATACTTGTAAAATAATACTCGAGCGTCTAAAGTGGCTCTATTATCAACGTACCGATCGGTACGCTGACGGTCAATCAAATACAAATATGAACTGATCCTTTAACGGACGCTGAATGCTATTTCCTATTCTTGATAGCAACGACGTCATTGGCAGACACAGTTAAGCTGTGCTTTAATTTGGGCTCCGCTGTCCTAACCTGCATCGATAACCATCTATTCCACCAAATGTCACTCACCACCAGGCAACATTGACGATAATTTTAGTCCATATTTCAGTGGCCAATGATGTGCTATTTATTTCATGCTACTTCTGCAATTGGATCGCTCTGCTTCGTAAGCTAGAGTGCTAGACGCGTGTGTCAACTGAGATGAAGTTTTTATAAATCTTACCAGCCTTACTGTCTTTCGCAACAGGCCTGCCAAATTCAGGCCGGCATCTTTTAACCTGCTAACCGCACACATCTATAGTATCACTTGATTTACGATGACAAGTAACGAACCCTAAGATTGACTCGAAGTTAAGTCCTAAGATGAGACGCGAGACAGCCCAGCTACGACCACTCATCTGTGGATGGACGAATGCATAACTATTATATAGCATTATATTAGGCACTTTCATTAAAACTTGCCAGTGTAACAATGACTGAACGGCTGGCCTGTACTGCTCTGCCGTACAGACGGTTGGTGCCTCCTAATACGAAGACAAACTACGGGTTGAGTTGTTGCGGACATGGCCTACAAGCACAAAGGCGTACGATTGTTGCCATCAGTATTATCATTATAATCGTTGTCTGCGTTTTTATCATCAGATATATCTGCATCCGACGTTATCCCTTTCCCCAACCTTTGCGCGTCAATCGCATGTCTTTAAAATGATACAGTCGAGTATTCATTGTCATCTGGCGGGATCCGGCCAGCAAACCGTTGCCGACCAATGCTGACCGGCGACTGACGCCACTTCAATAGCTGCTCGTTCGTTGACGGCGCGGTGGCAGTGGTTGATCGAGCTTAAGTTCGGACGCGTGGTACGCCAGCCACGGGACGGCGCCACAATGAAGGGTTCAATTCGATTCCATTTAGTTATGGTCCAATACAGTCGAATGGCGGCTCCTTCCTGGCCACCTGGCGGCCACGCTGACTTGTTGGCTGAATACCTCCTGACCGACTCTCGTGCAGATCGTGTCAAGGGCATCATTGTCACTTCATGGGCTACCGTTATATTATCGACAGTAACAACAGATATAGCAAACAACCGCACCATACCATTTCTGCTACTGCTTACTGCAACTACAATATTAGCACTATAATGGGCAATCGGTCATTGTGGCCATTACCAGAAAGTCAACCGTAATGCTACCATACAGTACTGTTGTCTTTATTGCTAAGGCAGATTACTCGCTGCTGCCAATGTGTACGTGGGGCAGACAACAGCAGCTGCTGCTGAAGTTTCTCGCACCAGCGCAACACACGTGGGTCTATTTAGTGGCTTGATCAGGGTCTGCCGATCTGAAGTTCTGTGGGCGTCCGTGATTGTTCCGCCCGAGATTTGTCGCAAAAGACAAACGTTAGGGTCCGTCAGATTACTGGTGACGAGCCCCTATGGCAGCTGCGGTAACAGTAAGGTTATAGCGTGTGGTGGTATACCTTCGCGCGTTACGTTTCCGCGTCGAGAGAAAAACTTTAACACAAATTCAGCGAAAAACTGATTGAGTTTCTTCGCTGCAATCGGCAGCAACTGGTCTACGTGCCAGCCGCTCACTCGAACCGTGTTGAAATGATTAGAACTAGTCTAGCAGCGCACTACATTGTAGACACGATCTTGTTGTTTACTTTCAGATCGGTCTTATCTCATATTTTCCGTTTTCGGAAACTCAAGATAGGTACAATGCGGGGAGAATGTTGAGCTCTCAGATTAAAAGTAGAAATTATATATTACATATGCTTTACATAATGATGACGCCAAAAAGGATTTCCATACATCGGCTGACTTATAATTAAATAATTGAGAATTTTTGGCCAATAAGAGACTACTTGTACGATTAGCCTTACAGCTGCTATGCTCTGAAAATAAATATAGCTTATGCGATATCACCAGTGGCGTGCGTATATCCGCCTGACAACGGGCACAGCTCTTGATTTGGGCCTATTTGACGTCAACTCAATGCTTACTCGCCGATTGGTCATACGCCGTTGTCCTTTTTTCATCTCCGTTTCCGGCACCACCTTCTTGGATAGATCCGCCCGGCTGGCTCGAGTCTCGGCGAGACAGACCAAGCAAGTTTCTGTAGTTATTGTTGATGCCGCAGCTACTGCAGTTCTGTTTTTTCATAGCTATCGTCACTTAGTACGTACAAAGTCGTGCACGATTAGTCGTGAGCGAATTGGTACGTAACTATCGAACAGACAGACAGAGAGCCCCACGGAGGCGTTAACGTTGAATGAACACTGCCACTAGCATTGTCATCACTCAACGCTGGCCATTGCTAGAACAGCAGCAGCAAGGGCAAAAACTGATTCCCGCTTTCGCTTTCGCATTTAGCTACCGTACTGAATAATTATACCAATAATGAACATCAGTCGGCTATATATTTATATATACCGTATAGCTTAGCACGTGATCATTCAACAGGTGGAAGCTTTCGTTTGGACAGTTGAATTGGCCGAGCTGAGAGTAACGCATTTTATTGTGCTATAAATTATTCTAGCAGGTGGCCGGGTTTGAGTCCGCATCCATTAGCAACGATGCTTTTGCATTGCACAGTTTGTCTTAGTACAATAAGACCAGGTTTCCTTGTGGCACCTTGTCCTGATCGTACGCATGAATATATTTCTTTTACCTATTTCATCCATCTGAATACATTGCAAAGGACATGTACCTTACTTTAGATGCAATCATGCAGTATCAAAGCTACTGCAAATTTTGGCCACATTTAACCTTGTGATCTCGTACCCCACAAGCCGATTCCCGCAACCTTTCAGGTAACTGCTCCACTGCAATTTGTATTATGTTGTTACGCTCCGATGTCCTCTCCTTGACATGATCCTATCGAACGCTAGTCATATGTACAACAAAAACAATAATTATAACCAGCGTTCACAGTTACGGCTTATCGCCCAAATTTTTCCCGGTGTTATTTCGGGCGCTATTCTATCCGAAATTCACTGTCTGCCAATCTGTCCAGCTCTCGCGAATAGCACTACTATAAGGCCACCGTTGCTTTTTGTGATGACGATAGTTAGCGAACGGACGTAAAAAGCGTTCTTCTACCGGAAATAGGCCTAAGTTGTCGCCGATGATTTTGCACTGACTTTGTCTCGATGCCTGCCTTCCCGATTGACGTTTCCACTGCTGCTCTTCGTAATAACTATGATTTTACTGCTAGCAATTATCATTACAATGATCGACTGCGACCTGTCTAGTATTTTTTCTGCCGGTTACCGGCTGCTTCGTGCAGAAGATAACCATAGCTGATAGTGTACTGGCCTTTGACGCTGGTGCAGGTATTCTTCAGACTCTGCTGATGCCGCTACTCCGGAAAAACACTCTTATAAATCACAACAGTGAATGACACGAAGCAGCAACGCTGAAAACAAGACTTTGCAGGCTCAAAGCGAAACATTTTTCTGGTGCATTCTAGTTCAGGGTCACCGCCAGTCAATTTTGGAGGTAAATGCGTAGCAAGTCAAAGTCGGACGATATATAGGAATGATTGTTGCCGGGAACAAACCGCCGGTCGAACGGTCGGTTAGATCAAAGTGGAGAGGTCACCTATAATAAGGGCGGTCATACGACCACCTTTATTATAGGTATAGTTGTTCATGTCTCGCTTGACAAATCTGAAAACTCTGGAAAAAGCGCAAAGACAGCCTATTTCTCTTATAGGCTGAACTGGAGCTCAAACGTTTTACTGCAAACATTGGATTATACCCAAAGTAGAACAGACAGACGAATGTCTGTCTTATTTCCGCGGGTGAGCGTGACCCACAACAAGGAATTGATGACATGACAATAAGCAAGCATTTGCCGGTCGATTGCGATGGATGCATAAAATTTGCTACGCAGTCCCAAGGTACCCGGTCATATAGTTTTAAACAATCTGTGTGTCGTTTTTTTCTAGCTTGACAAAAATCTACGAATCGAGTAATCAAAATGAACTATATTACAAGTATGCTATATAAACACAGTGAGATAGCCTGACCCGTATATGTACCCGCAGTATCGATTCATAAACGATTTTTCACTAACGAAACTGACATCCGAATATATGTAACATATATATCATATATCATGATTGCAGCTCTTTCCAGTCGATACGACCGTCAGCTAATATAATTATTGTATGTTCACTAGTATAATTACGTTATCTAGCCACTTCCGGGAAACTTTAGGCGAAGTACGAAATTCTCTCTGAGTACTTACCACACTGACTCCTAGATGGCGTGCATTCTCGTTGTAGTATTTGGAGGAAGCAAGACGCGCGGCTTGTAGTGCGTGCGTGATGTGTAACGCCGAAGCGTCGAACCGACCATGATTTTTGACGCCATGTTTAAAATCACCTATGTGCCCATTTCCTCCGCGTTTAAACGAATCTGTGGGATCGAGAGTGCCAGAGTGGCCGAGGCCCCGGATCTGCTCGTTAATCAGGTTATGCGTTTTCGGAACGGACATTGCTGCTTTGATGCCCACAGCAGTGCCGTCGAGAGTGCCTGGACCCTGTTTCGGCGCGTGGTTCTGACAGTAAACCTCTTGATCATCCTGATTCTGTAGATTGTTAAAATAGGTCTTGAGGGTCAGCTTTGTCCCACATATTTTGCATTTGAAACAACCTTGGTGGAAAAAGGTAAAGTCTTTGAGGGGACCAACTTTGTCCACGGGGTAGACCGTCGTCCTACATCGGAGACATTTGAGATCCGGACCGGCCATGGTGGCCAAGACACTTTGGCAGGGAGCTTCTGATTACGTCTGTTTACTGTCGTAGAGTAATATCGTGTGTTCACCACTGTAAAGTCTGTTTAGGTTATTCGTTTCGCCTGTTCATTCTCCATCGATTTTTGTCAAGCCTCACCTCACCACGTCTCCCGCTACATTCACTTGTGCACAGCTGTATAGTACAGCCTCAGATCGCGCTGCTGAGAACACGATCCTAGTATCTCCCAGTCACTCAGTACATAACAGTATCCCTCACGATTGTCATCCACGTTCACTCTACATGTAAATCCCGTACAGGCTTTGATTAAAAGGAAGTAGAGTAAGTTAATCCGCCCGCCCGTCCGTCCGTCCGTCCGTCGTATCTTCTACTCGTGTTGATAGCATCCAATATCCGCCGAAGGCAATAACCAAACGAAGAGTGACCAATGACAATCTGATTAACTCAGAGAAAATAAAAACAACAACGTCGAAAATTACAATAATAACAAGGCAAATTTCCCGTTGGCGCTGTCACCAGTATGCCACCAACGACAACGACTCGTCTGCCTCAGTGTACTATAGACTTGATTATAAACTCATCACAGATCAGAAGTAGAAATGACTTCCCTACAGGCAACCTGTCGGATCTCTTTTGGACCTTAGTACGGTCCTTGTTGCTTCGCACGCGTGACACCGGCTTTCTCAATCCTTTACTAGCTACTACTTCCTTCACACGCTATACACGCACAAACTTAGCAGGCTAACCAGCTGAGCTGATTCGGATTCAAACACCTCGGTATAGTGGGCGGGAGACGGCATACAACTACAGCTTTCACAAAGTCCATTTTTTTCATACTATCAAGCACTCGTACAGCATTGTACGACGGCGTAGAACCGCTCACCGATTACCGTGTTCCTCGTATTCAGCTGATGATGCTGCCGCAGTATTGGTGGTACTCGTGATGGCGTTGGTGGTTGTTGGTGATGGGCACTTCAGCCACTTTGGCCACTTGGGCAGGGTCGTTGCTTCTGTCGCGCTGGCTGCGAACTGCTGCTGTCATTTCCTCACGCTCGGTCAACCCTCGCCTCACGTATTTCGGAGCGCCGGCTGGTTCACTCTCCCAGTCGAATGCTGCTGGTGCTTATGCAAAAGCTGATGCTGGCAGTGGCAGTGCTAGAACCAACGACCGAAAGCCGTTGGTTGCCAGGACAACAAGCAGTTAGTCCATAAACGTTCCTTCTGTTGTGGCTGCTGCGGCCACTAATACCGCTGCCGGTACTGCTGCGGCTGCCGTAACCTGCGCGCACGTCAGTTTTCGGACGACGCGACCAACCAGCCATTGAAACAGCCAAATAACCAACAGCTCAACAAAGCAAAATCATCAGTAGCATCCGAATAGTGCTTCTTTCTGTCACCGCGGGCATGACATTGCTAATGGAAAAAGGACTGCCAGCAACGGCAAACTGCGCGGGCCCGATATCTCGAAGGATGGAGTTGGGAGTGCAGGAATATGTCTGAATGGGACACAGCGGCGGTTAGCAGCAATCTTCATTTAAGGCTTAAGTAGATCTATAGTTGACGTATCGAAAAATTGACGTGATGCGGATTATTGATCATTAAAGGTAAAGGCGCAATCTTCTAGTTTAATTATGTTGTTCGTATATTATGTACTTGAGCCGAAATCCCTGGAACATCTTCAGTGCTACAGTACGGGCAAACTAAGCTCCCTATAAGGTGACACCAGCTAGAATAAATGAGAAATTTTCTTCCAAATTGTTTGTCTCGCAGAACAAGCGTTTTTGATTCGACGTCTTTGATATAGCAAGACTTTGGTACATCATAAAAACTGAACGTGTTCCATTTGGATGATCGGCAATAGTATTAGGCGGTTTTGTTGCGATAAAGTCATCGTTACAAGGGTATGAACAGGAAAAAAAAAGAAAATGTCCTGCCGTTATAGTCGTCAAGGTTAGTAGCTTGTTTTTCCTCACAGGAGACGTAAGCAAGAGCCTCGTTATGCCTAATTGACCCGTGACGGCAACGATCCCAGCGGACCATATTAATTACCGTAACGGTACTGAGATGGAGTAATCCTCTGCGAAAGCTCCAACAGACCCAAGAGAAATTTATCTCTTCACTGTTCGCTCAAACTTGCACATTTCTTTTAAGCATAATTAAGTGTATACTCTTTGCCTCATCGTTTCTTTACTCAGTAACGTTTGTAGGATAAACGTAAGTACCTCTAATTCAGTACAGCTTCTTATTACTAAATACTGTGCACCGGGATTATGCTTATCTGCAACACTGGTTAGGGAACTGAGAACGCGTTTGATAACTAAGGAAAAAATGTTCCCATTTTCTCAAAAAATTGGGCAGTATTTTTTGACGCTGGATGCTGGGCGGTTTATATAGATCTCGCACGTCCCCTTTAAACAAGGAAGTTCTGCTGTCTGAAGAAGACGTTTTAACAGTATCTAACCTGTTAGTCAACTTAGAAGATTGTCTTCTAGCCATGTTCAAATCTTCCTTGATAAAACCCAACGTTGGAGCTGTAAGTTTAATGCGAAGTTCATATGCTACGGCCTCTAGGACTTCATTTTCTATGACCAAGTAAGGAAGTATACTGTTTAGGCAGCCCGGATAGCTAACATTGTCTAAGAAAATGGCGGTATGCTATCGTGCATTTAAATGCCATTCATTCGAGAAGTCAATTTCAAAAAAACAGATAATTCATCCTATACTAAGTGTTATTATGGACTCCTAAGTTCTAGTGAGAATGTAATTTCACTTACTATTAACATCAAAATGTGTTTCGTTTGCTACAGTAAAATTTCCCTGGATTTTTATCGAAGATTATGCCAATATGAAAAGCGCGGTCTCATAGTGTATCTCTGAGCAGAAATACCTGCAAAGTGCCAGACCGAAAAACCTATAGGCCCCCCTGTGGCTAGAAAAGAATAATAACTAATGAAATGCTCTTGAGTAATCGTATCAACATTAAAAATTCATAGACTACGGTTCTTTATCGTTATAGGTGTGCTGGCGTGTGACTGTAATAAGGCTCCCAATGTTTAAATCGACGATAAGCAACCTTAGAAATAGGGTTGAAATCTAAAAATCCTGTTGTTTATTCTTATTTAAGTCATAGCGACGTGCTCTATAGATAAATATAGATACTATAATATGCTAAAAATAGCGAAGAAGAAACCAAGTATATATGTCTACGTCACCTTCCATCAAATTCTGTCAATTGAAGAAAAAATATGTGCTTATGTAACAGTCCCTATTAAATGTTAGCGCAGCAAGGTGTCATTCATGTCGGTACGCATTTCAAAATGGCGCCATTTAATATAATGGGATGAAAGCGTTTGATCATAAAACACATACGACCTGTGTTCATTAACAAAAAATGATACCTCAAGCTGGTCTCAGATCTGAACCTTCGTGTCCTCGGGACGTTAGTTGCGCGTTTACTGGTTTATTTTTGTTAATATCTCCTTTAAAGCTATGTTACAAAATTATATCAGAAACAATTTTTAACAAGTGCGCAGATATAAAAACGCTCCAAATTAGCAGTTGTTGACTTCATCTATTCAGGCCCCGGCTACATTGTATTCGTGGTCCTGTTCGTTGTCCAGCTAGAACGCTAAAGCAGATGATATTTGCACACGCATCTATTTGTCAATTTTAGGTATCGTGGAAGTGTGACACACTTGTACGCTGATCATGTGCAGCCAAAATTATTAATTTTTATTCAGAAAAAAAAAACACCTTATAATATAAAAACTTATAATTTCGTCCGTCCTTTCAGTTGTGGACACATAGAGATCGCAAAAACAACATTAGGTTGTGTTTATTTTTTTTTCGAACGCATAAGTCTTATAACGTGCCACGGTATAGTATAAAGGATTAATGTAACCGCGTGCTGAGATTTGATTTTACAAATTCAATACAACGGATATTCAACAAGTTCCTAACTAATGAGAGTTCTCTAATTGTCTGCTATTGTTTCCAGGATAGCTCGATTGAGCCACTTAAAAGTAAGACAAAACTTCTGTTTACAATTGTTTTATTCAAAATTTAATTCGCAATGGTTTTGGGTAATTGATTTGTTAAATCTATGAGCGGTCTATTCAGAGGGGGTGAACATCGCAAGGGTCAACGTATTCGAACACCTAAAAATAGGAATTGGACTATCGCATTGGAACCCTGCTTTGGAGTCTTCGTTGGATTGGAAAACAACTTTAGAGTATTCATAGGCACAGGACAGGAGTAGGCACAGGACAGTGGTTTAGGGTCGAGGCAGGCGCGAAAGGAAATTTTCGCAACGCGGACGTTACCAGCACGGACGTATCCAACTTGGACCAGTGATGAATCCAGGTTCATTATCAGTCGCAGGACCGTTTCAATTTCAGTTATTAGTAACGTCGTTTATGAGACAAAACTACAAACAAATATACCAATTATTTAGCTGATAACTTCTGGGTCTAATGGCCGTTTGAATATACAGTTGAGCTTTTTTCTTGTGGGTACTATTGGTATTGATGCAACAGAAATAATTGCGTCCGCCAATCTCGTGAGCGTCAATCTTAACGAACAGTTATGGTATCTGATGGGAGGTGTAATTTTTACTTGCGCTGCCAACGTCTAATTCATGAGTATGACAAAAGCAGCACGGAGCCTCAGAGAGACTCAAACTTGCCAGTCAGATCGAAAACTCGTTTCTTCGAAGAACGGGAGCTAGATCAACCGTATAAAACGTTCCAGCGTACTAAAAGCGAAGGTGTAAGGCGTACGTAGCTTAGTCTGATTGAAATATCATACGGTATACCGTTCGATAATATTGCATTATATCTTTCTTTAAAGTAAAATATAAATAAATAAGTAACTTGTTTATAAAGAGATATCTAAGAGTGCGTGTATCTGCTAGTTACGGTTCGAAGATAGAAATCCTCCTCTAGTCGTGGTTTGGGAACCTGAGGTCAAATAAAGTAGAAACCATATATAAACGGTTGAACAACTGAAGTACTATTTCTAAACGAATTTTTGTAGCTTGTGCCTTTTTGTTAGCGTTTTAGTGCTACTGGCTAGTACGAAAGTTGTTACGCTTACTATGTAAAAATGCAAGGAGGAACCTTAACAATGACACGAAGTGAATCTGTGTTGGGGAAGCTTTGGCTAGGAGCAAACGTTTATGAAAAGGTCGGTTGGTTTTGAATGTAGAAAGGGGGAAGAAAGCGAACGTGGCAAGGTAGTCATGAAACGACGGAGCTCTGCGCATTGACGACATCTTCGAAAGGTTCTTATGAAACTAAGTTCTGTGCTTAACCGTTCTATAGCAGTCCATTTAGCCTGTATGTAAAATGCGTACTTGATTTGCGATATAAGTGTCCGTATAATAAAGTGCTTTTTGTCAGATAATATGAAAGATCAGGACCTAACAGTGGCAGTGAAAACAGCATTGCTTGTCACTAAGAATTTTGTTAAGGACACCTCAGATTCACATTCACAAAGTTCATTTGCAAGGTTCACGAAACACCTTCAGTTGTCACTTGGACTTTAGGCTCAAGATGCAAATCACTACATTTTTTAAGCTCGTTTTCTGTTGGAGGATCTTGAACTCATGAAGGTTGCAGTTGCAAAAATGAAGCCGGTAACTCATATTGCGTTCAGGACGGCACGGGCTATTTTTTCCGCACTATTTGTTAAAAAAAAATATTTTGAACGCGTTATTCGCTCGTGCATACGTCTATAGATTATGAAACAGTATTCGAAGTTGTTAACGCAGTTTGGTCTAGTTCCTTATTCATTCATACATGGTACTCGTTGCGCATTTACGTACCTCAGGCGTGTCACGTTTCCTTTTGTACGGATATAATTTTCAGTTTTCTTTCCGGTTTAGCGGCCAGCACGCTTCCATGACAAGCAATATATCGCCAGCGAATCGTCTGCCTCGTTGTATTCTTCTTATCATTCTCAATTTTACTTTGTCTTTTTTGTTCTGCTCAATTCACAACTGCCGAATTTACAG